TGCAGATTCACTGATGATTCGTGGATCTACTGAATAATAGGAGCCGCCAGAAGAAATCTTGCCGAAAGCTATGAGATGCCTCCGAAGCTCTGATGTCAATGTGTTGGAGGTGTTGAAGAATGGAGTGGAACTTCTGGTGAAGCTTCCAAAAAATCTCAAGCGGAGGGGGATTATCTTTGACAACGGGATGGTGGATGAGTCTTGTGAGGCAGAACCATTGGATGCTGATCGAGGATGTCTTGCAACTTCTCGTCCAACTGACAGTGCATGACTCTGCAAAGATGGCCAGATGACATGATAGAAGGTGCACCATAGCAAAGAGAGTATTTGATATTGTTATGTTTGTAGTCCTATGCTCTGGTCAATACCTAATAGCAGATGGAAGCAGCCTTCATCTTACAATGAGAGTAATATTCAATCTTCTTAAGGATAGTAAGGCCACGTAGGTCATCACTTCCCCTGCAAGTACCCCTGGCAAAGAACCCTCCATCCACGGCGCACAGTTAACTGGCCTTGCAAACAACCCTTCAGCCACATCGTGCAATTGATTGGCCTAACTAACGGTACCAGGCCTTGGAAGCAGCTTGAAACTGGGTCTGCACGAGTTTGACGTAGACTGGGACTAGCCGCAAGTCTAAGTCAGAGCATAAAGTAGAGTGGCGTCCTGGCTTTGGGTCATTTGGGGTGCTGAAGCACAACGAGGCCACGCTGCTGTGTCGCATGCTGGCAAGCACTGGCGCGCGAGCAGCAGCACTGGGCGAGCGGTTGCTGAAGCTGCTTGATGAGGGACAGTCAAGCGCCATAGCCAGGCGACCTGGCTAAGGTTGATGGTATTGGATATGCTGGTCCTTCGGCGGTTGTGAAATGTAGGGAAGATGTGGGATAAGAGATCGAGTGAGAGGAAGTTTTAGGGAGGTGTTGAAGGTCTGCTTTGGGCGACATTCTTCATGTACTTCGTCAATGCTGATGAGACTGGTTGTTGTCTACTTAGATAGGCTTGCAGTAGTTGGACTAGGGGTAGCTGGGCGCTGGGCGGCAAATTGGTGATTTCAAGTGCAATTCTGCTCGTTGGCTCAATATGAGACTTCTGACTATCTTTGTATGATTGCAATTTGGATTTTTTTCTCGCCTCAATCGTTGTCCTTGCACTTTCTCTTTCTCTCTCCATCACTTCTTTTCCGTTGCCTATCTTCTAGAGACTCTCTCCACATATTGGAAGTATTTCCAGTAATTATGGATTTCGTTCTTTCTTTCTTTCTTTCTTTCTTTCTTTCTTTCTCTCTCTCTCTCTCTCTCTCTCTCTCTCTCTCTCTCTCTCTCTCTCTCTCTCTCTCTCTCT